AGTTTGGCATTAACCAAAGTTAGCCAATATGCCAATATGTAACTATTTTAGATAATTAATTAGATATTTTTTTTTATTTAAATACTTTTTGTCTTGTAATAATTACTCAGTATTCAAATAGTTTAGATTTTCACTGGTAACATGTCCGATCACTCCTCAATTTTCAATATTCAATTAAAATATCTGATAATGGCATCCATAACCACTGAATTATTATCATCTATTACAGGACATATTATGAAAATGTAGATTTCAGATTATAAAATTAGTCTCTAAAATATTTTTTTGAAATCTAATAAGCATTTTACACTACATTAATTTAGTTTCATAAAGTACTCAATCCTCTGAACCTGTGAAACCGTCTTAGAACCTATTGGATGAGCAATACTTGAAAAACCTTTTACTTTTTAACTCAAAAATTTTTATTTTTCTAATTTTTTCTCCTAGTGCTAACTCGTACATATAGCATACTATAGCATATAGCATCACACTAGGTTCCAATCACAGCCCACACTAACCCACAGCTCGTAGTCATTATTTGAAATCAAATAATGACTGCGAATGTCCACTTTAAATTGCTTCCATAACAAACTTTGTTTATAGTGTGAAAAACAACAACAAAAATTAAAATTAGGATGAGATGTATATATTCAACCTAACATAGTTTATCAGGAACAAAAGTATTTTCTTTATTAATATTTTTTTTTTTTTGTTTTAAATTGTTCAAAGTATTATCGGTATCTAATAACATATTGTTCGTATTCGTATTATATACGGTCCTAAAAATGGAGTCTCTATTATATTATTGCTTTATTTTGCCCTCTATTATATTATTGCTTATTATTTTAAAGAAGTTCTTTCACTTTTTTTACTGTATTTAGAAAAATCTATTCTGGATTATTGTCTGATCTCTCTAATTCGTGAACAAACTCTTGGTGGAATATTATTCGCCATTATTGAACAAGAGTAGAATATACTCTAAGGATATATTAAGATGTTTCTTGGTCATCCACACATTATCAACTCTCGCTAGTTTCTGGTAGATTTACCCGCAGTTTATAATTGTTTAATAAAAAATAGCCAGTTATTACCCCAATCATTGTCTTAAGTCCGATCTATTTATATTGAATAGGTATTTGTATGCGTTGTTAGAGCATTTCAGAAGAACGAAATTAGCGGTATCCCCACTCATTACCATTTTTGGATTGCTGAAATCCAGTTTTGTTGGACTGACTTTCCTGACAGCTAAAATTTAATGTTGTTTATATGGTTGATTTAAACAGCTTTCTAAGCCAATTCATCCGTTACGGTATCGCCATCAAAATTACTGTGTGTAGGTATCCAATGTAACATCATTTGATTCCTAGTAACAAGATTTTGTAAGACATTAAAAAACTCCTAAGCCAGTGATGAATTGTATATATTGTTTACACCGAATGGTAGTTCTAAAAGATGATGGTAATGCTAAAGTCATTATTAAGATTTTTTGTTCAAATATATGTTTAAGTTGAGCCCTTGATTCTTAATAGAAATTAATTACATAAAGTATATGCTGTCAAAATGTAATGTTTATTTTTTTTCTAAAAGAATTTAATAGTTCATATAATCTTTTGATGATTGCAATAATTAATATAAGAGTTAATAACTGTAATCATCTTAGGATAAAATATAAGAAGATAACATAAAATGTCTTCTTAAACCACTGATAAGAAGTTTGAGATCCTTTTCAAAAAAATATTCAACAGTTTCTTTACCGTAAATTTGGATGCACTAGTCTAAGGTTTACCTATGCATTTCTTGTTAATATTTGTATATTTTTAGTACTCGAAGCCTTGCAATCTCAATAATCAATTGTAAGCAGATATTTTAGTCTGAATTTCAGAGGGTTTGTTGGTAAAGGGTTTAGTTAATCATTCCGTGTTTTATCTGAGTTTAGACTTTTTTAGACCGAGAAGAAACCAGTTATAATTCAATTTATCACAACTGACCGCTGAACATTAATGAATTATAAATTAGAAATACGTATAATTATGTATTATAATTAATCAAGAAAACTACTAAAATACACTAGAACTTTAAACAATAAGTTTATTACAATAATGTTTCTAATATTTTTATATATAATACAAACAATATGTATGTATATTTTATTGTAATATACTTATTGTCTTTTAAGACTTAGTATTTTTAAGTGGTTTTCTTGAATTAATACCATTTGGAAAGTGATGTAATAAATAAGCTATTGACCAAAGGCAGTCAATCAGACAGGGCCTGTCTCTAAATATGTAATAAAAATACACATATGAGCCATGTCACAGCCCTTTAAATAATAAAGGAATTATGTGCAATAACCTCCGGAGAGATCATAGGTCGAATGCACTAAAATGAATTTAAGTATAGTTCAGTGGATGTAAATTTAATGACAATTTTTTTAGAATTTAATATATATAAAATTGGATATACAATTGTATTAGCGGAATTAGCGGATCTTAAGAATGGTTTTATGTAAACAACCTTTTCTTTGCGTCATTTGTACGGTTGTCCTTCTAAAGATTTGTTTTCAAGTAATTATAGTTTTTAATTCAACTATATAATATTCGATTATAAGTTTTTATATATATTATACATTAAAAAATGTTTAAATATAATAATTTTGGTGTTTATTGAAGATAAGAAAAACATAATTAAAAAAATTTGTTTGTTGTCCACTTTGCTCAGGTTTATGATATACTCATGGTACACCATTGTATTAATAAAAAATTTAATTGTGAACGTTTTAAAGTAATTTTTATCTAACAGAAGTGTGATTAATAATGATTCCTTTTATTAAATTAAAAGATATTTAACGGTTCGATGTAAAAAATCATTTAAATATTATAATTGAGGTCGTATTTAAATTATCACCCACAAAACCTACAGAAGCGGTTATTGAATTCATTCTCGTATTCTTTTAAGTATTTTTGTAAGAAGAGAAATAATATTATTCATAATTTTGAAATATTTTCGCTTTAATTATTAGATAATATTTTCTTTATTAATGTCGGAACAAAAAGTTGAAAAAGTGGTTTAATATTCAATTCGTAACCCAATTTGTTGTGAATATTAAACGGTTGAACTAAAATCCGTAAATATATATCAACAAACCCAAGCAAGATCGCCTACTTTTCAACTAATCAAGTCAAAGACCTTTGAATTTTAATCTGTGGAATATTTTCGGTAAAAGTTTATAAGATTACAAAAAAAAAAAATAATAATAATAATAAAAATAAAAAAGAATGTCAAAGTATAAAAATCGTTAAGCGCATAAATACAAAACCCAATTTCGAAATTTATTAACTTTTGCTGGTGACTAAAATAAAGAAATTTTTGTTTTTTTTTTAAATTTTATTTTGTTTTTATGAATTTTTTTTTAAACTTTTTTTTCATATTTTAATGAAATGCTTGAATGACAAAGAAATGTTTACAACTTTTTGTTTATAATTAATTAATGTGTGTTAAAATTAATTTTTGTTGGTTTTTAGCATATTTCATGATTTACAATGATTGAGTCGTCTCGCGGTTAAAACTATTTGGTTCCTTCCCGTCTTGGGCGGGAAGAAATACTATTACTATGTCGCCCGTCAAATAGACACTTAAATGCTTGCTCCTTCTAATACTTTAGTATTATTTAAAAATAAATAATTTAAGAAACTTATTAAAAGCTGCATATAAACAAACAAGTGACAGCTTAAATGCATAAATTAATAAATTATTAAAACTATTGTTAGAGAAAAGAAGTATTTCGTTGAGAGAAAGTGAAAAGCTTTTGTGTCCTTTACGTTAAAGTGAAGTGAAAGAAAAGTGAAAGCGCAAGGAACTGAGTTTAGAGTAGTAAATGAGTTTTAGTGACAGTGTGAGATAGTTAAAAGTGAGAGTATTAGCAATTATAATTAAAGTTTGAGTAGTAAAGCTATAGTTTAGAGATAGTGAAAAAGAGAAAGTTGTGAAATTTGAAGAAGAAAGATCAAGAAAGAGAAAGTTGTTATAGTGCAGAAAAGTGCATATGCAGCGCAGAATTGCTAGTGAATGAAGTTGAATGAGTTGATATGAATAATGAAACTGAGAAGAGTACATAGTTAAGTGAGCGAAAGATGAAAGTTACTAGAAACTATGGCAAGTTATGGCGTTTCATGACCAAAACTATGACTCCTTTTTTCAGGACTACAAGTAGACATAGTCAACTACATAGCAAGAAGCGTAGCTGAAAGAGAAAGTATTCAGTTAAGTAAGTGCAAAGATGTGAGTAGTGAAGTTACGAGTATTTACGAGTAAAGCTTTAGATGATAGTTAAGAAATATTTAAAAGTTAATTTTAAAAAATGTAATATATAAGACTAGAATTATGTGTAGTACATAAAATAAGAGTATAACAATAAAAAGTGCGTATTTAGCGTAAAGTTTTGTTAAAATTTAAGAATTATTACAGTTAAAGACAGTCTCAGATGCTTCAAGATTAGTAAAAATGTGAGAAAGTAACGTGAAAAGTAAGAAAAGATAGATATTTGGCATGAATAGAATTGAGAGAGAAAAGTCAGATGAGAAAGCAAAAGAGATATGAAATGTTTTAAGTTAAAGTTCATGTGCTAGAGAGTTTAGTTGAGTTATAGTAGAGTAATAAGTCTGAAAGGAAATACTAAAGTTAAAGTAATTTGAGTTAATTAGAATTAAGAATATTACGTGCTGTAGTAAATAAAAGCAAAAATCTGCAATACTTAAGCTGCTGCAAACTCTTTTTAGAAAATATTTGCAGACAGGATATTGCAAATTTTTGCATTGTTGAGTATTACATTATTTTATCTTGCAAATAATAAGGTACCGACTTCATCTCTCGTTGTTAATTTTTACATAATCTTAAACATTTTGTTTTAAGCTTAATAAATTACATAATAAATAATATAATAAATATTATATAATAAATGCACACACACATAAAAATATTTTGTTTTTTGTTTTTGTTCGCTTTATGCAATTTGCATTACTAGTTGATGATGTGATGTTGTAAAAATAAATTAAATAAATAAATTAAATAAATTTAAGACATTAATTTGAATTCAAATAAATAAGTCGATTCGTTGCCTAAAACTATGCTACGCTAAAAATACGCACAACATGGCTGCAGCAACTTCAAGTCGTTAATTGTCCTCACGTCCTTATCGTATCAAAGTCGTTGGGTTGCGGTTGAAAGAGTCTGCGTTGTTTTATTATTGAATAAAAAGAATTATGCTTTTGGCTTTTGTGCAGCATAAGCCAATTCTTGAGCGTCCAAAGCGCGTCCCCAACCACCATGACCGGAGCTACCGTATGAGGCAGATGAACCAGCATCGGCACTGTAACCACTGCCATATGAGTCATGACTGACTGAATGGCTTGAACTGTGGTGTGGATGTGCAACAACTTCATATGTTACATGTTTCTCTTGCGACAACAGCTTCTTAAGACCAATAACTGCGGAGAGAACCAAAGCAATCTTACCGATCAACAAAGCCTTACCAGCAATCAAAGCGATGGCACCCAATAAGAGTGGCAATAGAGCAGCAGCCTTCAAAGCAACCAAAGCGAGAATTGGGCCTAAGATTTTAGCAGCCTTCTTCTTCTTACCACGGCTTTCTTCAGGTGCATTTGGATCATCAGAACCACCGAACAAAGATTCTGATACATCTTCTAATGCACGTCCAGTTGAGCTGACAGCTTGCACAATATCAGCACCCTTCAATTCGACCTTGATGGTATGCGTATTCAAGAAACCAGAAATGCGATTCAATGCCAATGATTCGAACGATTCATCACCAGAAATGGAACGAGCTGCTTCACTACCAGCTGGTGCATCTGGTGAACGCACTACTGTCACACCTTCAGTTAAAGCAAACTGATCGCGTACGGCAAGCACCTTATCGACAAAATTGAATAATTTGTATTTCACACATGATACTGAATCCTTGCGCAAGCAATCGCTGTAGATACTATCCATAATATCGTTATCACTGCCAACTGCGTTGCGGGCATGACCGCGAGTTTCCTCAGCGGGGAGAGCGGTAGAAATAGCAACCAAACACAGAACACCAAAAATTACTTTTTTATGCGACATTTTTGTAAGCACTTTTTGTCTTGTCTTTTATTTACAACAAATATTTTCTTTCAATTTTAAGTCCTTTAGTTTTTGTAACTGAGTTCGTTCAGATTGATTTGCTTTTTAGTTTTTATTTAAAAACACACTTTTCGATAAACGCACTTTCTCTTTTCTGTTTTTTATTAATTTTGTTGAACGCACGAAATAACGCACCGTACGATTTTTCTTATGTTGCCGTTTGGACGTGTAAGGATGAAATGATACAATTTCCCAATGGTTTCAGCAATTTATATACCGATTGTGCTCTTCTTCAACAGCAGCGCCAGCAACAACAGCAGCAGAGCAGCAAACAAGAGCAGAACTGCTAGCAACAGTTGTAATCTGCCACTCCGCCACACAATCGCATTCAGGCAGGCAGCATTTCTTTTCTGCCAAATCGCTGCTGCTCTAACTGCGAACTTCTCTGACTGGTTGAGCAAGTTTCTCGCTTAAGTCTTTCATTTTGTGAGCGCTCTTCAATGCTGTGTACGATGTGTACGATGGAAAATATATGCACACTTTTCTCAAAAAAAAAAATAAAAAATATAAAAAACTCAAAATCATAAAAAATCAAAACAAAGTATGGACAAACGTGGAGACCGCAAAGTTTACAGCAGTAAGTCGGAGCAGCAAACACACTGCCACAGAGAAATGTTGAAAATAAAAAGTAACTGCACATCAAAACAACAAAACTACCAAAAACTTGCTTTGATATTGACTCTGAACTCGACTGTAGCTGTGTGTGTTTGTGTGTTTTGCCAACAGTAAGAAAACGACTCTCGCAGTGAGCTTCAATGCAGGTGTTGCCAGTCAACATGTTAAGGTTTAACTTGTTGCTGCTGCTGTTTCTGCTTCTGCTTCTGTTTATGTTTCTCCTATTGCTGTAGCTGTGCCTATGGCTGTGGCTGTGGCTGTGTTTGTTGCTATTGTTTGGCATTTCGGTACAAAATGCTTTCGCTGCGTTGTAAATTTCAATTTCGGATCGTAAGCAACAAGTTCATGTAACACTGTCAACTTTCAATGGCTCATGAGCCTGACGTTTGCTGTTGTTGTGACTCTGGCTCTGGCTCTGGTTGCAGCAACTTTTGCTGCCAACTGCACCAACAATGGTTCACTTTTCTTTACCTTTGTGAAAATTTAAGTAAAAGCACTGCTGTTAATTTGAAATGCCTGCATTTTTTGTTCGCACTCATGCAATTCAAAATAATAAAAATATCAATGTACTTTTAAAAACAAACGTACATACATACTTAGTTGTTATATGTAAACATTTTGCATTAACAACAAATGAAAGCATATTTGTTTGTAAATAGTATAATTTTACATTTTAACTGTTAGCAAAATTAAACATTACCAATAAACATTAACAAATATGAACGTGAGAAAATCAGAATCTTTTTAAAAAAAAAATATTTCTTGCCAAAAACTTAAGAATTTTGCATATTTGAGAAATAAAATATTATTTTCATTATAACTTTTATCAATCATTGTGATTATTTATATTTGCAATAAGAATAATTTGAACTTAAAAGTTCAGTGACTTATTAAAAATATATTCTTACATAGGGCGAAGGACCTAGTAGTACAGTTCTTTATTCTTGGTTAACTTTGGGTCAGTTGGTTAAGGTGCGTTGATTCTGAGCTTCAAATTTAGTAGGACACGAGTTCGATTCCTGCTACTTGCAGTTTCAAACAAAAAAAAATTTCTAACGAATAATTAAATACAAGAATTATTTCCAAGACCACTGATGATGGGTATACGGCAATACTCAAAACAGCTGTATGGTCAACCAAAAATTCAATTCATTTAAATAATATAAAACAAATTTTTGGTTGTTGTTGTAGTTTACTATTATTCGAAAAATCTCTTAATTATTTAACTAACAATTAACAATTAACTAAATAAATAATAATAAATAAATAAATAATAATAATATAATAACAATTGAAAAATTTTAACCTTAAATTTAATATCGAGTCTCTAAAAATTCTCAAATACAGCAATAATTATGCAAAATTATTATATATATAGAAAAATTATGTGGCTTCTACAATGCAAATACAATATGTAAACCGTCAAGATACTTACATATGATAATTTGTAAGTATCACATGCATTTATTTGTATTGTTATTTACTATAAGATACTGAAATCTCTTGTGAGCCAAGACTTCATTCATCTTTGCCCACAGACATCATTCGGATATATTCGTAAAATCAATTTTTCAATATTCATCGTTCTAAGATTTTTTTCCTAGAGTATCAATCTTCTTTATAGTCCTTTTTTCTATGACCTTTATATTTCGCATATTGATTTACTTATAGAACATTCTTAAAAATGTTTGTTATAACAAATTATATTTCTTTCTGCAAGTTCTAATGATATTAAAAAATTATTTCTCAATGGTACCGATTACCTCAATTCTTATTTAATCCAAATATTTATTGTAGAGAAGAGATTGAAATAAGAATCAGAAACCACAGTAGTAAATATGGCAGACACCAAAAAATGTGGTAAAAAAGTGAAGGTCTGGATGCAGATCAAAAATCAAAAGAACACGGCTGGGAACGCCTAAAGTAATGCAAAAGCGTTTCCGGAAAGAGATAAGCCTTTCCGAGTAGGTGTTTCAGTTCGAATTCTATATATTAATGTGTTATGGAGTTACGTACACCAATTCGAAAGAAAAATCATCATTATCATCATCATCATTGTCATCATTACCATCATCATCATTACCATCATCATTGTCATCATTATCATCATCTTCATAAGCAGCAGCAGCATCATCATTATCATCAACATTACCATCGTCATCATCAGCATCATCATCAACATCGTCATCAACATCATTAGGATCATCATCAGCGTGTTTTTGCTATCATTCAAAAAGCGATTCATACTTTAATATATCATTATGCGCTTCATTCTACCCACTACACAAAAATCAGTATAAAAACGTGCCAATATAAATAGATTGACTACAACTCGAGAAACACTAATGAATATTAGCCACTATATTATTACGGAGCTATCAAAACATCGTCTAAAAGCATTGAGAATAAAATATGAAAATGAAAAGTAAAAGTTAGAAACCTTATATTAATCAAATATCAATAGTTTAGTCATTTGATTCTTTCTACAATATTAATTTTCAAAATTAGCAATGTACACTAATAGTCGTGTTAAGAGGAGGTGGAATGCATTACTCTCTCTTCATGGACTTCTACAGGATTGCAGTCTAGCAGAGATACACTGATCTAGCAGAGATAACGATGTTGGCCTTATTTGTTCTTTATAATTTCTTCTAGAAAATAAAATGATTTAATAGGATAGCATTAGCCGAAATTTTTAAAATTTTGTAATTACAGCTCATTTTGATTATTTTTTTACTAATATATAAGAAAATTTTAAAGACACCAATTTTAGTACATTTGTAGATTCATTTTACACTAAAAATTTATTGCTAATTTTTCATTTATTCTAGCTTTAGTTCCCATTTATTACTGAATACTAAACTAAGTTATACTTATCTTGTTTGTACACATAATTATTTTATTAGTTTTTTATGACAAACAATGCAGATTTCAGCTTTCTTCACGATTTTACAGTACGTTTGAATATTTTTAAACAAATAAATATATATTTTTAATTAAATTTCAACGTTCGCTTTGACAAATGAAACTAAATTCTTAATATAAATTGCTATTTTCAATAAAGATGTTTTTATCTAAAAGTATTGAATTGCCACAACAAATATTTTTCTTCATTTCAAATTGATGCAGTCTTAAAACTTAAGTATAGTTGGGGTATTAAAAGATATATAATCTCAATTTTCTTAACATTAATATTGAGTAAAAATTAAAAATAACTTATATTTTTTTAGATCTCTCCATCGTTTTATATTTTCAACTATCCATTCAGACATGAAAGTGAGTGAATTAGTAATGTGTTTATTTATATTGTATTAAGTATTCCACATAGTATACATATTTCTGAGAAACATGACACTAAAAGTGAACTATACTTATAATTTAATTATAATATACCTATATAAAAATTGGTAGCTACCTACAGGAACTTTAGATTCTCAGTTCCATATTTGGAAGTCGACTAGAAAGCAGTTAATGAACAGATAATGAAAAAATATTATGATATACAGAAACGGTTACCATTAAATAAAATAACTCAATATCGATTACAGGATTTATGTACAAAAAACACTTTACTTCAGATCCTGAAACATGAAAGTAACATATATGATATAAAACTTTTAAAATAAAATAAAAATAAAATCAGTTAACATAAAAAATTATTAAAATGTTAATTAAGTTGTATTTACTGAGATAAGTAAAATGAACTAAACTAAAATATAATAAAATAAAATAATATAAAACGAAAAAATAATGTAAACGAGATTAAAATAAAATAAAATAAAATAAAATAATTAAATAATATAAAATGAAATAAAATAAAATAAAACAGAATAAAATAAAATAAAATAAAACAGAATAAAATAAAATAAAATAAAATAAAATAAAATAATATAAAATGAAATGAAATCAAATCAAATAAAATGCTATGAAATGAGGGGCTAGAGAGGCTCAATGGAAGCACTATATTTATCTATAGGTATAAATAGTATTAATGCATTATAACTGGCAAATAACACACCAATTTTTTATTGGGCCTATTTACACTATCATGAACGTAACATAAACATGAATTTGAAAACCGGTTACGGATAGATGAGAGAGGGAAGACAGTGTGATGTGCGTTCATGAATTTCACGCAATGAAAATTGCTACGTTTCTTCAGTTTGGTACGCATACATATGCAATGCTAATTTATGTTTACCTTTTAATGCTAAATACTCTCAATTTCTGTTATCTGCACTACTACACACAAGTATTTTATACGTTTACACAAAACAAAACAAATTTCACGCTCATGAGAATTTATGATAGTGTAAACTGAACTGACAGTTCATGGTATCTTCAAGTTCATCTCACGTTCATGATAGTGTAAATAGACCCATTGACAGAATCTGAAAACTCAAATACGAAATATGTTCATTAATGTTTTCACTGTATACGGTGCAGAGTAGTTTACATATTGAGGTTTGAATTGAAAGTCTATGCTGTAGACATTTGTTTTCAATTGCTATCATTACTACTTAATTTTCTTCAGAGATTGTCATATTCGTTAGTATCATGTGATA